ATTTGAGCCAATTTTGTTGGAACTGCCCGCTGTGTTAGCGCCTGAGAAGTGAATCAGAAAACACGTTAAAGTAGAGTAGTATGTAGTAAAGCGCTTTGGTTGAACAATGGCTTGTGAAAATTCCAGGTTAACTCGTGCTTATACTCAGAATTATTTTAAGATGTAGCACTAAAAAAAACCATTTTTTTGCATTTGTTGGCCCGAATGAGTAAGAGTAAGAGTCTTACTCGTCCTTGTTACCTTTTGATGATTTTGTTCCAAAAAAGAAGATTAGGAATCTCTCAGAATCCACATCGTTTTATTTTATATACCCTACTCCTTAGCTTGTGATCTTAGAGCAGAATTCTAGGAATGATGCACAATGATAGATCCCTAATTTTCTCCAATCCACACAAGAGCAAGTTTTCCTTTCATTTGTTCATAAAAAGAACGGCTTATTAACGTATCGCTGGTATGCGAGCAAGATCATTTGTCCAATTCTCGTCTTCAATAAAAAGTTCGCTGCTCTATAAAGATTGGGCTCACAAGGCAGATATGCAAGAAGATTCAATTTTGACATTCAAATGTCAAAACATTTTGGAAACAAGAGCGTAAAATCAATGGTGCGCTTCTCAGTCGTGGACATATCTCTGCGTAAAACAGGAACATTTGAATTAAAAAGCAAGAGGGGAAGGTAGCCTACATCATATATTGTTAATATCGAACTTGTGAGGTACTTTAATACTTTTCCATCGAGTGGAATCCTATCTTAAAAAATGGAAATGTCCTTCAGTGGTCAGGCTTTTCTTTTCAGTAAGCCTGACAAGTGGCGCCCTCGACGCAAATTGCTCACACCAACATTCCATTACGAGATACTTAAAGACTTTGTGGAGGTAAATTTCCATTTTTGTCAAAGTTTATTGTCTTTTATTCCATTTGATTAAAATTGAAAAGGTCGAAGACAACAACGGCTTAATTTATAATTAGTGTTTGCTATGCACTGATACTATTGACAGCTTGAGCACTAGCTCTCATTTTTCTAAATATTTTTTTTCGAGTGAAGCTTGCCCCATTGTGACCTTTTTCTGATTTTGGGAAATTGACCATTCTATGGAATTGCGGAAGTTAAATGTATGAATGTTTTACGTAATACAAAAGTTAATCCCGATAATTTTTATTTTTTGAACGACCTTCGAAATTTGTTCAGGTGTACAATCGTCACGGAAGAACACTCCTTGGAAAGTTCTTGAAACATGCAGAAGGTGGCCAATATGAGGACATTTTCCACACAGTAACTCTATGTACTCTCGATGTGATTTGCGAGGCTGCTCTTGGCATCTGTATCGATGCCCAGAAAAACCCCAAATCCGAGTATTTGGAAGCAGTATTTAGGTAGCTTCAAAAAAAACCCTTAAATCAATAAGCAAATAATCATGTTTAGAATGAAAGTTTTATTACAAAAACGACAAGTGAATCCACAATACTATCCTGAATTCTTATTCAACCTAATTGGAGATGGCAAGGAACAAGCGCGATGTGTGAAGATTTTGCATGATTTCACTGGAAATGTAGGTCTCATTTATACGACTTAAGTGAGCTTTACCTCATCCCACATTCTCTCTTTTGCACTGCTAGTAGGCAGATGTGTAGTTTTGGCAATACAAGATCTAAACCTTCGCATCAGAGTAAATTTTTCGCTGGCAAAATCTTTTCATAATCATAATTTGCAGTCTACACGAAATATTGAGGGGACATTTTTTTAGTAGAGGCACATCCATAACACCTCACTCGCAGTCATTTAGTATGAAGCAGGAGGTCTTTAACTTTCTCTACAATGACAGCTATTTTTCTCATGCTTACTTTATATACTCAAAGATACAGGTATATATTATATGTTGATGCGATTGCGAATTATTTTGTTTGAGGTGATACGTGCACGCAAGGGAAAAGCTGATGCTGCAGGAGGCGTTGACAAACTGCTTGCTTTGGAAACCGAACAAGGTAGTTTTGTGAAATACCAACTATCCCGTAGAAAAGGGAAAGGTAGCAGCAAAATTTATCCACCTGACGAGACTTGAGGTGCATTTTAGAATGTCATTCTCAACCTATTCACTCCCTTAGAAACATTTTAAACAAATGTCTTTCAACACCATTTCTTGTACAAAAAATATAAAAATGGCCATGTGGTGCCAACTGATGCAAGACGAAAATTCGTACAAAGTCGACATTTCACATAGAGGACTCAGAGATTTCAAAACACGAATATTGTACTCTTCTTGACGCAGCCGACTCTGCAGTAAAGCGCATGTATCACGCTGGTAAAAGTAACATGACTGCCTAACTTGGAATGAGAGTAGGATGCCATAATATTCGATTAGCCTGAAAAGCCGTATAATAGTAAAGGCAAATGAGGTTTTAGGAAGGAAGTCTTACAATAAGTAAGTCTTACAACCGAAAGTTTTTTTCTCCTAGAATGCTTGTGCGGAAAATCTATACTGACATATGGTAGAAGGTCATTCAGGCAATGCCCAT